TAAGTGTTGACAAGGATGTGGAGAAACTGGAACTCTCATGCAACCACTGTGTATTTGTTGTAAAATAGTACAACCACTTTGGAGAAATCTGGCAGTTTCTCAAAATGTTAAACATAGAATTATCATACACCCCAGCAATTCCCCTCCTAGGTACCCAGAAGAATTGAAACATATGTCCACATAAAAACTTGTAAATGAATGCTCCAGCAGTATTCATAATAGCCAAAAAGTGGTAATAACCCAAATGTCTATCAACAGATGAAAGGATAAACAAAATATGGTATATACGAGTGGTCTTCAAACAGTTCACAGAAAGGTTCATATTATCTTTTAATTCCATTTTTCCAAATTTTTTGAAATAGCCTCTTACATACAATGGAATATTATTATACGAGTGGTCTTCAAACAGTTCACAGAAAGGTTCATATTATCTTTTAATTCCATTTTTCCGAATTTTTTGAAATAGCCTCTTACATACAATGGAATATTATTTAGCCACAGAAAGGAATAAAGTATTGTACTGATACAAGCTACAGTGTGGATGAACCTTGAAAACATTATGCTAAGTGAAAGAAGCCAGTCACAACAGACCGCATATTGTATCAGTCCACTTTTACGAAATGTCCAGAATAGGAAAATCCATAGAGACAGAAAGTAGATTAGTAGTTGCCAGGGGCAACATATGGAATGGGGAGTAACTACTTAATGGGTATGAGGTTTCCCTTTTGGGTAATGGCAAATGTTCTAAAATTAGATAGTGGTGATGGTTGTACAAGCTAGTGAATAAACTAAAAACCACTGACTTCTACATTTTAAAGTAGCAAATTTTATACCAGTCAGCCACCAAATATATATATATATAGATATAGATAAAGATATAGATATAGATACATAATTCACTGTAGTGAATATGTTATATGAATTTTTTTTTACATTGGCCAGTATAGGGAACCAAACCCTTGATCTTGGTGTTATATGAATTTTAAAATAGGAACAGGACTTATTTTTTAAGACACTGAGGGGAAATGGCATAAAAGTAGAACTGGATGAGAAGGCTGGAAGGATGCACAAAGCATGGTATCTTTACCTTTATTTCATCTAAGAATAGTGACAGGAAGTGGAAGAAAGCTTTGTGATAGGAGAGGGCAGACCCATGGGTTTCTGGTAAAAGATAAATTTGGGGATTTTGTTTAAAAATTGCTCAACCCAAAGTGACTGTGTGCAAGTACATCTATGACTTCTTATTTTCTAGAGATTTTTCAGGCAGAAAAACCTACTTCACTCCTCTCCACAAAGCAACAGTCCAGAAAGCAAGAAAACTAGCATCCCCACTCAACATCCTTTTCATTCATTTTGCCAACAGATATTTATGGCATGTCTTTTATGTGCACAAGACAGCTTACCTTGTCCTTCTCTCCCTTTGAAGATAAGTGAAACTCCTACTACTAATCCTTCTACAGGATAGAAGAAATGGCTTCATTTTCTCTTCTCTCTCCAGAGCCCAATCACATCAAGAGGGTTCAGGGTTGATATGGAGATAATGGGAACAAAACACAAGATATAAAACAGGTTTTGGAGTGAGAGGTGACTTTTTTAGTTAAGAGATGTTGAATTTGAGATGCTGCTGAAACAAGTTAGTGTCCAAGAAGTAGCTAGAAATATGGGTCTAAAGTTCAGGAGAGAGATCTGGGCTAGATATACAGAAGAAAGAGCAATCCACATATAGGTAGTTGGTGACACAATGAATCAAATAGGATTTCATAAGAAGAACATATAGAGTTATATAAGAAAAGGGATTGAGGAAAGAACCCCAGGAAAACCAACATTTAGGAAGTGAGCAAAAAGAGAAATAAGAAAAGGGAGATGGAAGAGAGATCAGAGAAGAAGAGAGCTAGGGAGGTTTCTTAGACATCAAAGGAGAAGGGAGTGTTTAGGAGTGTCAAATATTTCACAGAGGTCCAATAAGATGAAGACTGAAGAGCAACCAGTAGATTAGGCAGCTAGGAAATCACTGATGACCTTCACAAATGCAATTTTAATGAAAGCTTCTGAAATAGATTTTCCTCAAGTTTATTCCTTGGAAAACTGGTTCAACATGATGCTTCTCCAAAAGGGAGTTTTATGGTCAAGTAAGTTTGCAACAATGTTGTGCATATTATATTCCCCTCTTGAAGAATCACAAGCCTAAGTACATTAAAGTTTCTGAGAAGTCCTATCACAAAGCAATCTGTTCATGTTATGTTCTGTTGAACTCAGTATTCCCCAAATTTCTTTGATTATGAAACACTTTGTCACATGACACCTATTAAAAACTCTGGAGTGGAGTCCTGTGGAATACACTTTGGAAAATAGGGCTCTAAGATTATGGTGGCAAAAAAACATTAGTAACATAGGCTCTGGAATTAAATAGATCTGGATTTGAATCTCAGTTCTAACTCTTACTAGCTGGGTGAACCTGGACAAGTTTCTACCTATTTAAATACTTAGTTTCTTAATCTATAAAATGGTCCTAATAGCATAAAGCGTAATTATAGAATTATTGTGAGGAATTCATTGAGTAATACATTTAAAGCACCTGACATGCCTGACAATAGTAGTATTCAATAAATGTGGCTATTATGATGATAATAATTATTATGGCAATAGTTAAAATTGAAAGGAAAACTATGATATAGGTACTAGAGTTTTCAATTAATAAGTGGAGAGTTATGGGAAAGTTGTAATCTAATTGCAACAAGGAAGGTAGGTGTAGGAATGGAATAAACAAGGATCTAGTAATGGCTTGGAAGTAGCAGAGGCAGCCAGAGAAAACCAAACCTCACTCCTGGCCTGGTAATACATGGATCTTACATAAAGGCATAGTCTCCACCAAAGAGGGCTACAGAGAACAGCCAGGTTTCAGTCAAGGTCAGAGGTGCAGAATGTGTTGGTTCTAGTTTAAGATATCAGGTAAGGAATCTTCTGTTTCCCAAAGCATAGAAGGGGCCTATTGGGAACAAGGGCTGTCTAACAGCATTCAGAGCAACAGTTAAGGCTCTTGTCCAAGGCAGGTCTCTCTGGTTTGTGAAACAGTGGAAGGGTCTGTTCTTGGGTAGACCTTATCACGAAGTTAAACTTGTGGAGGGGGAACAAAAGTTGTGGTTAAGAGAGGTCTTGAAGTATTCAGGCTTATGTACAGAATTTGCATTGCAACAATATTAGAAACAACTTAAAGATCCATCAATAGGGAACAGAGTATATAAATTATAATACATCCACAGAAAGAAATACTATGTAGCTATTTTTTTTTTCCTTTTTGTCTTTTTTACTGACCGGCAATGGGATCACAACCCTCGGTGTCACGCCCGCACCGCGCTCAGCCAGTGAGCGGGAACCGATCTCCACATGGGATCCGAACCCTCGATGGGAGCGCCACCGCGCTCCCAAGCGGCGTACTCTCCAGTGAGCCACCGGGCCAGCCCCTATGTAGCTATTTTTAAAACTAGTAACTCTATTTGTACTGATAGAAAAATTATGTAGCTGTTAACAGAATGGTAGCTCTATTTGTACTAATAAGGAAAAATCTCCAAGATATAGTATTAAATGAAAAAAGCAAGGTAAAGGACAATGCCCATAAGACACACATATATGCATCCGTGTACACACATGCTTGTAGATTCACAGATTATCTCTGTACTGATTCACAAGACATAGGTAACAGTGAGATGTTGGGAAAGGGGACTAGATGCCTGGAGTCTGAAGTAGGAGGGAAACTTCGCATTATACACATCATTTTCGTTTAATTTATTTTTACAATTATTATTTATTCAAAACATTCTTTAATTTTTTTTAAGTGTTTGAATAGCAGAGGTAAGGAGAGGGCTGAAAGACTGTGAGAAAAGAGAGGGATCAGAAACTGGTGGTCTCCATGAGGGCAAAGAGGTAGTGTACTTAAGAAGACAGCCATGAACAGACAAAATTCTGGAGTTCAAGATTATGGAAAGTAAATCTAAGAGCTGGGGTACTCGAGGGCCCTTCCTTTCAGCCTAATCTTTTTTTTTTCCCCATGGGACCCCTTTTTCAGGGCTTCAATTATAGGACAAGAAGGAAGTCTCTTTGCTTGGGAAAGAATCACAAGTAAAAACAGAACTTTGCAGAAGAGAACTGATTTGTTCTCTGTCTTGGTGATTGTCCCTGAGAAAATGCTGATCTGTCTCTCAGGCTGCCCACCTGCAACAATCTTGGATCTCCTGGGACTGCTCCATTTAAACGTGGGGCTTCTAATCTATTTGCTCAGTTCTATCCCCATTTTACCAAAATCTCTCTTTCCTCAGCTTTCATTAACCCAAGAGTGCCTGTCAAGCCTTCCTTATGGCCTATCTCCATGCCTTCTCTGTCACTGTCCCCTCCACCTGGAATAACCACCCACCTGCTGCCACCGCAGTCTCTGTTTCTAGAGCTAAAAGTCTCACCTCCTCCCCCAGGTTTTTCTGCAGCTAAACCAAATAAGGTACAGATTCATATCCATTCCCACCCACACTACCAACATTACTGCCTCATCAGCATTAGCAATGTCACTGAACATTTATTAAGTGCACATGGCCAGGTACTCAGCCAGCCCAAGAGGATACACAGATGACCCTATGTGATCTCTTCCCTCAAGTTGCTGACAATCTTACAGGAATGACATAAATGTAGACAGGTTTCTATGGTAGTTTCTCAAAGTCTTTTTAATGCAATATCAACTATAGAAGTTTAAATGACTTATAAACTTATGGGAAATATTCAAATCACAAATAATCAAAGAAATGCAAATTAAAACAATGAAATATCATTCTTCTGTCAAATTGACAAAAAATTTTGAATGATAACACTCAATATTGGTACAGCACATTCAAATACTGAAAATACAAACTGGAAAAACTTTCCTGAAAATAAATTTAGCAGTTTATCAGAAGTCTTTAAAAAGAATATACTGGGCTGGCCAGTTAGTTCAGTTGGTGCTGATAACTCCAAGGTCCAGGGTTTGATCCTTGTACCAGCCAGCTGCTGAAAAACAAAATAATAAAAATAAAAATGTTCGAGTAAACAAGACTGAACACCCCCCTCAAGACTGAGGAAGAAACCTGAAAAGAGGGGAATTTTAGCAGCAGGACCCATATTTGATCATATTTAATTCTTCTCCCCTAAAGCTGAAGCGGGCCTCAGCCTTGGAGGAAGTTTTCAAGGCAAACTTGGGGCTGAATCTCCAGAAATAGGAATACACTTGTCTAGCAGAATGTAAGATAAGCATAAAGGCTAGCTTAGCCTGCATTTCTCTGAGTTCCCTCTTTTCCTGTCGTTACTTGATATTTTGAACCATGGTTAAGGGGCAGCATGACATTATTTACATAAATGTAGAACTGTCTTCCAGATAGCCTGGAGCTGCAAACTTGCTATGAGGCACGTGCTACCCAGACCCTGAGAAACCAAGAAAGACATCAATAAAGCTATGCTGACTCTACCCCAAAGCAAATCAGAATCTTGCAGGACCCTAAGATACATCAAGGACAAGAACAGAAACCAGAAAGAATCTTGATGAGAATTTACACCTGGCCCCGTACACATACCCCTTGCTCCTCCCTTTCACTTCCTGCTTCTTATCCCATAAAAGCCCTTGTTTAGCTTGAGAAAATGATACGGGTTAGCCTACCATCTCCTTCAGGTTTACTGGTCCTGAATAAAGTTGCCTTCCCTTTTCACCAATGTTTAACTCTCAAATCTTTTGTTTCTGTTTGGCAGTGGACAGCTGCATTTGAGTTCAGTAGCAAAAATAATATACTGTTTAACTCAGTAATTTATTGTAATCTATTTTGAGAAAACTAAGTTGAAGGAATAATCAGAAATAAAAACAGATTTATGCATAATGATCCTCATTATAGTATTATTTACAATAGTGAAGACAGAGGAATTGTTATGTAACATCTATATGCTGGATTATTATTAATCTATTAATAATCATTAAATGAATAGACTGGCTTATGGGTTGTTCACACTATTCCCTGCCATGTTGATTCTGACTTCCTGATGTTTTTATCAAAGCTTTTTTCCCATGGTATTCTAAAATTAGGCCAAGCAGTAGGGGTTGGGGAGGGCCATCCCTTCCAACCAGCATCTGTGTTAGAACCCCTTTACTGCTGTAATCCACCACACTCACTGTCAGCAGCCTGTTGAGAAGCCAGCCCTGTCTCACTGAGAGCTGGTGCACAAACAGGACCTGGCACCTCCAGCCCTGCTGCAGTCGTTGTGCACACCACGAGGTAGACGTAATTCCTATTGGTCAGACAAAAAAAAGCCACCCAGACACCTGGCTTGGCCTGGATCACAGCATTGACAACTTGCTAGCCTAGCTGTTGGAGGAGGCACAGGGGCATGGTATATGGCCTGACTGTATTGCCTTTTTGGCTGGGAGAACAGCATTTTGCGTATGTTCCGCTAAAGCAGCTTAGAACCACACCCCAGATAATCATGGCAAGCCTTTCACAACCTGGAAAATGTTGAAAACAACAATTCCTATTTCTGTTTTTATTAAATCTTGCACACACACACACACACACACACACAAACATTAAATCATGTTTTCAAAAAATATCTAATAACCCAGAATAAAGCTCACAAAAACTAAGTGAGAAAATTTAAAAATCCACACATATTATGACCCAAATTCAGTACAATTATGTTCATGCATATAAAATTATATAAGAAAACATAGCTAATGTTAATAATCAAAATTTTGCTATTATTGGCTTTAAGTACTGGGCCTTGGGAAAAATAAAAAACAGGATTAATTAGAAGATAAAGAAACACATGGAAAAGTCTGTGGAAATGATGATGGGCATTTCTGGCTAGTTAAGCATCCATAAAAGTTTGGCTAAACACTCTTTGCCAGGTTCTACACTGGGCTCTAGAATACTATTAATAAAAAGCATAACCCTGACATCCATGGATCTTATAAGAAGCACATAGAAAAGTAAGACATACCAGAAATAAGTAATTCCATTCCATCATGGTAATTGCCAATGTAGAAAAAATATGTAGAGTCTGGAAACTTAACCCCAAAACTGACACCTAACTGGGTTTTAAAAGATGTGAATTAAAAAAAAAAAGAAGATGTGAATTAAAAGTTAGCTAGGTGAATTAAGAGAAAGAGTATTCTAGGCATGGGAAACAGCAAATGCATAGCCTCTGAGAATTCCTGAAAGATAAATAACTCTGTGTTTTAGAAGCACCGACTAAATGGAGTAGCAAAAAGAGTTAAGGCTGGAAAGGCGTGTATAGTCTATGCCAGTGCCTTTTTGTTAAAGACCTAATTTTTTATTCCCAGTATGTAACGGACTGATATTTTTGGTTAATACACTGTTCAATGACATGAAGCCATTGATCGTGTGCTTGATGTCACTGAAATTCAAATTGCCTCTAAATGCTCACTTTCAATTTCAGTACTTATTTCATCAAAGACTAGAAACAAGCGGTTCCTGGATCAGGCTGGTCCGCAGACCACACTTTTAGTCACACTGAGCTAGATCATAAAGGTTTTATTCTATCATGCAGGCAATGTGGAGCCACTGAAGTACATTTTTCTGATTTTCTTTTTTTAAAATCATAGCTTTACTAGGTAATTTACAATCCTAAGAGGAAGGTACTATTATTCTCCCCATTTTCTGGATTAGGAAAATTTTCTCACAATGACATACTGAGAAAAAATATTGGCACCTCACATCACAGGCAGAGTTAATTTCCCTAAAACATAAAAAGCTCCTGGGAATTAGTAAGAAAAACACCAACACTTCAATAGAAAAATGGGCAAAGAATATTAATAGACTGTTCACAGAAAATTAATAGCCTTTATATATATGAAAATATGCTTAACTTTACTGGTAAGAAATGAAAATTTAATCTATTGAGACACTACTGGCTAGCAGACTAGTGAAAATCCAAAACCTTTACTAGTCACTCTACTGGTGGGTTAAAGAAGAAGGAAAGCACCCTTATGACGTTACTAGTAGGATTATAAATTGGTATACTCCCTATATAAGGTATATACCATTTGGGGTAGTCATTAAACTATTCACAAATATCCCTTTCTATCTCTTTCAAGGTATATCATACTGTTCACTTTAAGTATGGTTGTATGATTTGCTGTAGCCAGGGAATCGTGAGCAAAAGTCATGTATGTAATTTATGGGCAGAAATTTTAAGAGCCAGTGTACAATTTGCTATGTTCTCCTTCACTTGCTATCTTTTCTTTCTCTTTACCATTGCGACTGAAAATGTTCCAGATCCTGGTCGCTCCATCAGCCTAGATTGCAGAGAGAAGACAACTTAAAGCAAAACTCCCTGACATGAAGCATGACATGTATCACAGGCAAGCAACAAATCTTTGTTTTTTTAAGCCACTGACAAATGGAGGGCAATTTGGCAATATTTACTGAAATTATAAATGTGTATCCCCTCAATATACTTGCACACATACAAAATGTCATATGTAAAAAGGTTATTCATTTGTGACATGGTTTCTTACATGTAGCAAATGACTAGAAACAACCAAACATCAACAGAGGACTAGTTACATACTTGCAGTACATTTATTCAACAGAGTATTATGCAGCTGTAAAAAAAAAAAAAGAAAGAAAGAAAGAAAAGAAAATGCTAGTTACATACTTGCAGTACATTTATTCAACAGAGTATTATGCAGCTGTAAAAAAAAAAAAGAAAGAAAGAAAGAAAAGAAAATGAAAAAAAAAAAAAAAGAATTCTCTTAGAGCTGATATGGAAGGATCTCCAAGTGAAAAACCAAGATGTCTCAGTGAATATAATATACCACCTTTTGTATAGAAAAGGGGTGGGGTATTAGAATACATATTCATATTTGCTTATACTTACATAAAGAAATTCTGATGATAAAATAAGAAACTAACAAAAATGATTATCTTGGTCAGAAGGTGAAGGAATGACTATGTGGACTTTCTGATTAGGAAAAAAAATCTTTGGTGATGTATTTAACAACTTTCTGGCTCACAGCCTCAACTTATCTGTCAGCAAATCCCATCTTAAGTATAAATGGTGCACTTCTGCCTCTGTCTTAAACTGTTACCAGATCACTCTTTAAACACTGGTTTATCTCTCTCCTCTTGGCCATGTCTAATCAGCTGCCTGTTACTTTACCTGTGCTAACAATATCTTCACTATTATTCTCTTACTCATTTAAGTAGCAATGATTCTTAGTTACTCTCAGATGCTTTTCTTTAGATGATTCCAAGCTTTGGAAAATTGTTTCCAGCTATTCTTTTTGAGAAACTCTGAATTACCTATTAAAAAGAAAAAGTCATAACTAAAACTGGGTCTGCTCCAACATATTCATATTTTTCAGAGCTTTTGTTTTACACAGAGAAGGTTAGTTATTTTACTTTCCTTTATAATAAGTTATAAGACCTTACTTCTAAAAAAAATAGAAATAAAAAATAGTAAGTATTATGACATTGACTCAATAAATGTTCACTTTAAATGTCTGTTTACCTCTTGTCAATGTAGATCAACAGACTCCCAGTGTTTGGGATTAGGCAGCCCTATCCACAGAAAGATTTTTTGGCACATGCTTCTCAACATACGTAGATTTATTAATTTAAAGATTATATATATGTACAATTGTATTATTAATTACATTATAAAAATTAAAACGTTAAAAGTATAAAAGAAACATTTAAAATTTTAAGAAGTTTATTAATGATAAAAAATATTTTCTGCTGTCACTGAAAATATTAGCAGTAGTAATTTTTTTAGCAAAAGCAATGTAATGTAATATCCCTGGTTATTTTTTAAATCTTTAAATTTTAAATATTAAATCTTTAAATCTTTGGTTTAATAGTTTGTTGTAGAATGACTTCAAGGTCTGGTTCCACATTCAATTATTTCGGTAGTTGGTTTTCATAGATGTCATAGCTGAAAGAGATTCTAATACATCAGTCAAATGAAAGAAGTGCAATTCGTTACTATGTGCCAATTATTCAAAGATTTTAATGAAATTTGGTTAGTAATTTTTCATCTTCTCTGATGTCAGTCAGTTGTTCTTGCAAAAGAAAAAATCAGAAATCTTCTTATATTTTTAACAAGTTCAAACCTCACCGAAAATTTTCTTTAGAAAGTTTTTAATATGTTAATAGTCTTTTTCCAAGATCTTAGAGCACACAGTTATAAGTTTTTATAGGTACTACTCACTGTTTCTGATAACAAAAGAACACATCCACATTTAAACACATATACAAATGAAAGCATTTTCAAACATCTGTGTTCAAAATAGTCTCTCAAAAGCAGTTATCTTTTCAATAATTATTAAAACATTATCCTCTCTCTGAAGGGTCAAATTAAGAGTACTTATATGATGCTAGAATAATTTGAGCATTAAAATAAGTGGTAGTAATGGATTACAACTCATGTAATAAATTAGGAATCCATGAGTCCATACTGATGTAAATAAATTAGTGGGAGAGAAGGGAAACAAGAATGTTCTATGATAGTACTAATTAATGTAGATATGCTAATGGAAATGGAAAGTTACCATTTGGCAACCACCACTAGTGGTGGCGGATTCAAACAGGACTCATCAATGTATACTTAGCTAGGAAGTGAATGAGGAAGAAGATATCAGCTTAGCTCAGAGTATCACGCCTTAAAGCACTTAACAATTACAAAGGAAAAAATGGTGCCTTGATGGGAGAAACCAGGGCAATACAAACTTAATCAAGTGAGTAAGGCTAACATGGGTGGCAGGACAGGCTAACATTAAGTACTTTTTGATGCAGTGAACTGAAAAGAACACAGGATTGTTTTGTGTAATTTCTGCCAAGAAAGCATGGCCTGAGTCTGGTCATGAGAAAACACTGAATGGATCTAAATTGAAGAACATGCTACAAAATAAAATGCCTATACCATCTAAAACTGTCAAGAGTGAGAAGGACTGAAGAACCGTTCCAGAATGAAAGAGACTAAAGAGACAGGACTACTGAATGCAAGGTGTCATCCTGGACTGGATCCTGGATTAGAGAGGAAAAACATACATTGTTGGGACAGCTGGCAAAATTTGCATGGGGTCTTGATAATAGTGCTGTCATTGTTTTACCAATTTGGATGGTTATATGGAAGAGTAGCCTTGTTTTTAAGGAAATACAGACAGGATTATTTAGAAGTGACAGAACACCATGTCTCCAGCATTCCCTCAAATGGTTCAGAAAAAGATTAATCATAATGGAAGAAGAGCGATGAAGCAAAAATGCGAAATGTCAACAGTTGGGAGTATCTGGGTGAGCAGATACGGGAGTTCTCTATACTACTCATTTTACAACTTTTCCCTAAGTTTGAAATTATTTCAAAATAAAATTTTTTAAAGTGTGTGTTTACCCATGTGAGTATGGCTTGCATTTTTAATATAACAAGTCTTACAATACTGACACCCACCTGTCATAATTTAAAAACATCACCTGTACTGCCTACTTACTGACACCCAGATAAGGACACATCAAACTTGTAACACTGAAAATGAAAAATGTTTGTCTTTACTTTCATTTTTTACATTGTTTTGGATCTTAACATATAGATGCCTTGGACCTTAAATTAGGGAATCCCATAGAAATTTCTGTACACCGTTTCTGGCACCACATAGATCAGCCAGTAGTACTTAAACTAGCTGGATAAGGGAGACAATTGACCTAAGAGGCCCTGAAATAGTCCCCTGCCCTAAGCTCAAACTAAAACTGCTTTGAGGTGACAACAGTACTGAAAATAAGCATCTAACTTTACCTTCAGGCTTTCAACCACTAGGGCTATTTGATTTCCATTAATCAGCTCAGAAGAAAGTCAAGGCTATCTCCCACCTCTTAAGGCTCAGGCTTAATTATCATACATTCCCAGAAGCACACTGTAAGAAGATGACTAATCACTGACTGCTTCTCCAGCACCATATGTCTTCCAATTTCAAAGAAAAAATTACCCCAACCAGTATTAGAACAGATTTCCTACCTCCTGCAGCTGGAGTCGAACCTTGGTAACTGCTCGGATCCAGTGCACTCTGGCTTGAGTAAATGGTGAAGAGGGTTTCTCCTCAGGAAAACTTGTAACAAAGAAAAGAATGTTTCTTAAAAACAGCTGATGCCACAAGGTGACAATGTTCAAGGCAAGACTGCCAAATATCCAAAATAAAATCGTTTGTGCTCATGCCTACACTTGTTTAGTGACTCAGGCCACTAAAACGGCTTAGTCCTGAATACTCAATGTGAGAACAATTCCTCTCTAAAATGACAACTCCTTCTAGCTTTTCATCTGTTCCCTCTCTTCTTTTTTTTTCATTCATTCAATGAGGCAGCTCATTGGGACAGTCAGGGATCAGGACACTGGAAGCAATGGCAAGGGCCCTAGGTGAATGTCTGGCATAGAACAATGCAAAGAGGTGTGGAATAAGCCTTTCAACCCCTCTCACTCTACCTCTCAAGACTGCCAGCCTCCTTTGGAGATTCTGCATAGCATCCTTAGGGCAGAATTGTGTTCCTGCAACCCCTTTCTGCTCTACTAAGTATTTAAGAAGGCTTACCAATTCCTAGACTACATGAAAAGAACCAAGAAAATAATCACAGCCCTTTTCCTGCCAGATCTCATTTTGCTTCAGGAACACCATCAGTGAAATGTACAATGAATATCACAAAATAACTTTGAGACAGAAACACTATCCTGTATTAGAACAAGTCATCATCCAGGTTCTTGACTGGAACAGTGGTTAATTCTTGATGATAATATTTCTCCTCCTTCCTTTGGGGCCTACAACCAAGGCAGCAGACAAGTGTATACCAACTAGACATGTAAAATATTTGCTAGGCTTTAATGACATCTAAATAGGTCAATTGTTTTAAAACATATATGGGCACTTCTGGCCAAAGTAAAACTGGGCTTCACTGGCACAGCTAAGACCTGAGAGGACACAACCTGCAGAGAAGGACAAGTACTCATGCTGGGCACTTCTGCTTCTCTACCAAGAGCTCTGCCCTGTCAACAGTAACTGCCAACTCTAAGGTCCACAAAGAGCCATCTTTCAGTGGGTCATCAACCCACTGAAAAGGATGGTCCAGAGCTTAGTCTTCTGCATATCTTGCCTGTTAGATGAGCTACCAGAGATCACTAAAAACCAAGGGAATGGAAGGAGAAGAGAAAATAAGTTTATATCTTCAGAACAGTATGTGACTCATCCATTAATCCAGTGGTAGAGCAGAAGCACCAATCATTCCCTAGCATTTGCCATATAATCAGCTTTCACTGCTCTGGTCTTTCAGTGAAAGGCTTTATTTATTATTAGACCTTGAAATTTGAGAATCTAAGTAATGCCCAGCTCTTATCACTCTATCTCAGTGGTTTTCAACTGGGGCAGCTTTGCTACCCAAGGGAAATCTGGCAATATCTGGAGACAGTTTAGGTTGTCACATGTGGGAGTTGTTACTAGCATCTAGTGTGTAGAGGCCAGGGATGCTACTGAACGTCACATAATACATACAGCAACTCCCCACAACACAGAATTATCTGCCCCAAAATGTCAACAATGCAAAGACTGAGAAATCCTGCTCTGCTCCAGCCTATCAGCTACTCTGACCAATTTGTCTCAGTAACCATAACACTCAAACTCTATACTAAGCTTCATTATAAGGCTGTTAAATGGACAGGTTTTAAGTTTTTCTTCTTATGGATATCAATTGCCAGACATACTGCCAGGCCCTTGGGAGGAAAAGGAGTGGGTTAAATCTGGCTTCTAGATCACTTCTTTCTTAACTCTGTCCTGGTTTTCTCAGCCAGGGTAAAACAAAACAAAACAAAAAAACAATGTTCACAAAAAAGGTTAAAATATTAATAGGCTAGGATGCTAGCCACTGCACCCAAAGCAGTTCCACTGAATGAAATAACCTGGCTCAGGTCAGTTCCAGATTCAGAAGCTGCCATATGTGGAGTCAACTAGTAAGCCAAGAACAGCAGACTCAAGAGGTCCTGGTACCCTGCAGCTCACTAACTACGAAGAACCCAAGTGTTCTTTAGAGGTCCCCAAAATATTTTAGGAATTACACTAAAAATCAAAGGAAACAGTGATCACCACTAAACCCAGCTGCAGAGAAACAAATGAGAAGTGCTTATATTTAGTAATGCCACAGGGCAGGTACTGAGGAGGCCGTGTGAGCTTCTGAAGGCAGCCATCACCTACCTCTCCCGGGGGCCTAGTACGTGGTCTTTGTGTAGCACCAGATCTGAGGGAGGATGGTTTGCAGCATCTTTTTTCATCTCCTTGGGTTCACATGCTCTCCTCTTTTCTGCTTCACCTGTCATTTCAAAAGCTTTCTCTTGTTCTCCAAAACCTGCTTGGCCATCTCTAGAGACGCTGCCAGAGCTGTGGCAGGAATGAATCGAGTCCCTCTCCCGATGGTCATCATCTTGTTCATGATACTGTTCTAGTTCACTCAGCTGAGAGCTTCCTTGACTCACATTACAGGAGGAGCCATACCTACTGCTGCTGTTGGGGCTGTGAGAATGAGAGGAAGACAGATGAGTAAATAAATGCAAACCAGGAAGAAAAGCAAAAGTATGGATAAATTCAGGAAATAATAATTATATCAGTGGCAAGATTCAGAAACAGGAGGTTCCTGGGAAGAAAGGACCAAACTTCACAGTCTAAAACTAGTCTCTATTCAGCAGAACCACAACAGGAAAAAAACACAACATGCTGGGTTCTCCAACAGTGCTTAACCTTAGCCCTGCACATGACTTTGAAGAATATTTTATCTTAATATGCTTAAGTCCCTGACCAGGCCCTTTGGACAATTTTGGGCCAGAGGTCAGCGTAGTATTCTTAAACTGCGCGGTACGGCACTTCTTTCTAGGGGAAATAATAGTGTCTTCTGCAGACAGACCCTGCACAATGCTCCAGACTAAAGAACTACAGCAAAGGACAGCACTGACTTCCTGAGACTACTCAAAGCACTTACCAGACACCAGTCTTGAGGGTAGTCAAAGACAGAGACTGATCCCTGGAAAAAGCTATACAAATCCATGTGGAATAGTATATAGAATACAGATTAGCTCAAGCCACCCTTTGCACTTTGTATTTTACTTAATATCCTCATTGCCACTAGAGGAAGCATCTTAGAAGACTTGGAAAAACAAAGCAAAATAGGTCTCTCCCCATCTATTACAAGATATAAGTGCCTAAGGCCCAAGGAAGCATCCTAGCCTATCATGTAGTTGTAGTTAATATACACCACTTAGCTACTTGCTGCTTCTTCCTGCCCTCCCTTTCCATTCCACATCATATAAGAGCAAACCAATGTGAGTAAACCTCAGGGCCTAGCCTTTCCTTTAAGCAGAAAGCTCCTTGTTCCAATAAATGGACTGCATTTGGCACTAGAAAGAAGGGAGAAAATGAAAATACCTACGCATTAGTTTTTATTAACCCCTAATTAACATGAAGCTCAGGTACTAGGAAAGACACAGGAGGGATAAAAAGCAAGCTATGATTAATCTACCACTAAGTCATTTGCATCATAAATGGTCAATTCCTTAAAACCATTTATGATGCTTGAGTTGAAAACAGGCCTTTTGTTGGTCGCTGGTCCCTGGATGCCATTCAGAGTGACTGGCTGCTGTACATTCAAAATACAGGCAGTGCTAACAGGCATCACCTCTTCTTTTTTTTCTGGCTGGTGAAGTAGTTCAGAAATAGTGTAGCGCTCTTCCTCATGTTTCCCTGAAGGACAGGTGGGGCCAGAGAGGCTGCCTTTGGTATCCCAGTGTTTGCCAGATCCTGGGATTTCCTGCTGGTTTTCCACTTCTCCAGGCCCTGAAAGCCCATGAACAGAGACACTTGGCCTGGCCTCCAGCTGCTCAGAGACAGTATAGTGCTCTTCCTCACGTTGCCCTGAATTCAGAGTAGATTCTGAATTGTTTACTGCAGAGGTGGCTTCTTTCCAGGTGGGGCCAGAGAGGCTGCCTTTGGCATCCAAGTGTTCTCCAGATGCTGGGATTTCCTGCTGGTTTTCCACTTCTCCAGGCCCTGAAAGCCCATGAGCACAGATACCTGGCCTGACCTCCAGCTGCTCGGAGGGCCCAGAGGGCTGAGTATAGGCCTTAGCTGGCTCAACACTGGCCTCAGATAGTTGAGAAGACGCCAAAACTTTGTTAGCCTCATTGGAGTTAAGGTCCTGATCACTGCTGATAACTAAAACTGGAGAGGAGGATTCTGCTGGCATTTGTTCAGGGACCCCTTGGTTCTCTTTTTGCCATGAAAATGAAAGATCCAGCTTCTTTCCAAACCCTAGTTTTGGATCACCTGCCAATTCACTCCCTTTTCCCTCTCTACCTCCCTCAAATAAAGTTGACAACTTTTTAAAACTAGACACTAAACCAGTCACTGCTGCTCTGCTGCCAGAGGAGGCAGGTGGAGAAAAGAGTGAGCTCAGTGGTTTCTCAGTGGATGGCAAGTGGAGCTTTGGCCAATTGGCCATGTTTGGGATCTCAAAATGAGGTCTTGGCTGTTCTGTTTCCTGGTGGTCTGCAGGTGGATCTTTCTGGACATGAAGTATCCCACAACTTTCATTAGCATGATGCACAGGTTCCTCCAGCAAAGGATGAGAAAGGTATCCTTTGGTTTCCAGTGTGGTGCTCTGGCTGACATTTGCCTCATCTAACAGTGTGGTATTGGGTTCTAGTGAATCAGTTGCCCACAGCTCAAAGAAGTCTTGTTTTGTGGAGGCAGTCTGAATAGCTGGCTCTGACTCAAGAGGAAGTGGTGGCTGAATTGGAGAAGGAAGCTCTTTGGCAATCCAGGTAGGATCTGGATGAGACTGTGTTGGCAATAAAATATATTCTGCTTCCAATGACGCCTCTGTGTCTGTACCCTGCAATATCCCCATGTCTCCTTCATCACTCAGAGACAATACTCCTTGCCCAGTATCATCCCCTGAGACAGAAGATGTCGCAGTTGTTTCACAACCTTGGGGTTCTGGAATATTTTCAGGAATATTATTGTTTTCCACTTCAGTTGTTAGTTTAAGATCATCTGTGAAGATATCTGATTCTGACTTTGCACTAACCACAGTCATTCTACAGTTACTGAGGGTAGATTCTGAATTGGGTACTGCAGGAGCAACTTCTTTCCACAAACTTTCTGGAGGCACTGATCCTATTGCATCTCTGGAACAATCATTTTGAAGCCAGGAAGAAGCTGGGTTAGATGATTCTTGTTTGTGTGCTTCTGGCTTGGGACTTCTGAAAACCCCAAATAACTCACCTTTGAGGGGCCGAGATGAGGCATCAGAAGAAAGAGAGAAAAAAGAGTTTTTCTTTGGAGATTTAGGAGAGGAAAAAAGTCCAGACAGTGTTTTGGGAGATTCAATTAAGCACCCTGAGAAAGATTTCACTTTTGTCATAAACCCTGAAAGCATTTCTACTGAAGAGTCTAATACTGATTTGTCTTCTTCTTTATCTTCATCTCGGTTCAGGAGGTGTCCTGCACACTCTGGCTCTGGAGAGGAAGAGGCTGGTTCCAAGCTCTGTGGTAAAACCTTACCAGGGTCCTTTTCTAATGGCAAGTTCAATTGGTCACTAGTAAATCTTTCATTTTGGTGGCAGTTAGTAGGAGTGTCTAAATCATTGAACTTTTCAATCAAATGGTTATCATACGAAATAGTCTTGGCCAGTGAATCACCAAGGAAAGCTTTCTGGTTCAAAGCCTCTTCTTTATGGGCAGCTACCCCCAGGGTCTCAGGGCCAATGAGGAATGTTTCAGCCTGTGCCTGAAATTCTGGTGGAGGAGGAACAACATCTTTTTGCAACTGATTCATCTGGAAATCTGCTGAAGATGTGTCTGGTTCATTACATGAACTCAGTTTTCCCTGATAGTCCTTCTCTAAGTTGAGCTCATTTGCAAGGGAGGTAACCTCAATAGTGTTGCTAATGGAAATACAAGGGGCCATTTGCTGTTCATTAACTACTTCCTGGGCTATTCTATCTCTATGAGCATTGGAACCTTCTCTAGTTTTTGTGCCACCAGTGTCTACAAAAACACTTGGCTTCTTACAGGGCTGTGAAGTCACTGAAGCAACAGTTGAAAGGTTTTGTTTTTCCCCAGGAGTTTGCTGCTTTTCATCCAAAAAAGACAAGCTGAAGAAACTGAAAGTAGAGCTATTACGAGAGGCATCCTTCTTGACACTTGGGCTAGTAGTGGAAAAAAAGGAAGGAAGGGTGAATAGCCCTTCTGCTTGAGATTTGGCTCTTGGTAGAGAAGCAGAGGCTCTGTTCTCAGATTTTTCAGATCCAGTCAGAAAAGAAAATATATTCTTTTTGGTAGGCAACTCTGGTTGGGAAGAAGATATACTGGTTGAAAAACTCCAGTCTTTGTCAGAAAAATTATCTTGTTCATTTGAATTTCTTCTGCTCAGAATATTGAAAGATCTTTTACTACTTCTTGAAACTTCTGTCACTGTAGACACACTACTAGTTTCTACGGAAGAATCTCTAGGAGACACTTTGAGACTACTTGTTGAGAAAGATGAATTTGGTGACTGCTGGATTGGGTGGTCTCTGAATGGTACCTCTTTTTCAGTCAAATTATTACCTTGGATCTCCTTAGTTGATGGTTCCTTTAGCCCACTGTCATCAATAGTAGTCTGTTTGTTCAGACTTCTAATTCTAACCTTCCCTTTAGAAAAAACTGGTGAAGCAGGAAAATTCTCAACACCCTGGCTAGTTAGCTGTACGGAATTAGGACTTGACCTGACCTCATCTTTATTAGTCATTGAGGCAATGGGCGTATTTTCTGTTGTCTGTATAGAAGACACATTAGTTTTAAAGAAATCCCCAAGGGTACCAAAAAAATTTGATACACCAGGAGATTCCTTCTTTTCTTGAGATGATATCTTTCCATTTTGATCACCATTCTTTTCCAAGTTTGGTGATCCTTCTTTATTCACCTGGGTTTTAAAGAGGTTCAAAAATCCAGATGCCTGTTTTTCACTTGCTGTCATACTTACTGTAGATTCTTCTCCTCGACCAAAGAGTTTCAATGCACTTTTAAATAATGTTCTCTCAAACTCTTTGGAAGACTTGTCCTGGTGAAGCTCACAATTCTTGTTCTCTTCACTACTAAACTGTGATGCAAGAGGAACTGAAATAGAGTCAGCAGTAATAATTTCATCATCATCTCTACCTGATTTAGCCTGAGTAATTATTTGGTTTCCCCAAAAACCAGATTTTAACAAACTTTGTTTTTTTAGATGAATGCCTTCATTTAAAAGGAATTCTTGCTTTATATTTTTAGTAAATTCTGGTTGCTGAACATTGGGTACGATATGTCTCTCTGAATCCTTGAGACTTTCTTCCTCATTTTGGGAGTTACCCATTAATAACTGAAGACCATCATTTGTGAGTTCTGCTAACTTTGACTGCTCATCCATTTTCTGCATAACCAAAGACTCTAAAGATTCACTCTTATCAAAATTCAAAGTACTTCCAACCGAAGTACCCAAA